TTTTTTTTTTTTTTTTTTTTTTTTTTTGTCCCCATCCTGATTCCTGAGGTCTGGCACATTTTTTAGTCTAGGAAAACGGGATTGGGGGAGGGGACTTTGGAAATGCACATCCAAATGGAGGAGACACCCTTTCGGCCTCACGACATGCCAGGGAGAGGCTAGCAGGAGGCCGGGTCGGCACTGCGCAGTCTGTTGTCATCAGAAAAAGTGGTCCTTGCTCCAGTCTGTGTGAGGAGCTCTTTCCCTTGCTCCTTCACCTCTGGGACCTGAAGAGCAGGCTCCATCTAGTCGTGAAATGAGACAAGACCGAGTGGCTGGCAAAACATGTTGGCACTAAGCCCATACTCAGAGCAAGCACCAGAGAGCAGAGTGGCCAGTGAGGATCGTGCGGGGAGGAGCAGGGCCATGGAGGCCTGCGTGTCAAGCCCTGATATGCTGTGCCCCTCAGAGGACCTGCAGAACATGTATAATTATGTAGACGAGTTATCTTTTGGATCTTGGAAGAGATTGGAATATGCACCTTGAGCCCAAAATAAAAATTATAATGTGCTCGTAGATTTGTGTCAGCACTTGCTTTATTAACAGAGACTGTCCCCTCTGACTTCTATGGTAAGAGAGACACGGTTGGGTTCCACTGAGTAGCAGAGGTGACATCATCTACTCACAGTGAAATGTGCAGCGACTTGAACTTGAGGGGAATGGAGACAGTGGAAAGTCATTTCCCTGGAGAATTACAGACAGAGCTGCTAGCTTGGTTTTCACTGGACGCTGTAACTTCACAGTGGCACATCTGTGCTTCACAGTGTGACTGCCACAGGTGAAGAGCCTCTGGTGTATTGGAACAATGTACACACAGGTAAGGGAAATTGGTGACTTTAAGGTGAGGATTGGCCAGGTGATGTGGGTGAAATGGGGGCTGGGATGAAAGCTGCTGGGCAATGACATTGGAAAGACTGGCAGGGCTCAGGGTGAGGGGGTGGAATACGGAGTCTAAGCAGTGCAGGGACAGAAGTAGGAACAGAGGAGCAATAAAGGCAGATGGGGAAAGGACAACTACGAGGGTGGTCAAGACCGGGGGACTGATGATGAAGGATGACTAGTGGGAGCTAGCAGATCTGGAAGGATGGGGAGTTGTTGCTGGGGAGCAAGATATTTGAGTTTATGACTTCAGAGGTGGGGAACTTCTGAGTAATCAGTGAGTCAGGAAGTGGTTGAGGGAAGGGCCTTGACCCTTGTCATCACTGGGACCCCTCCTTTGATCCCACATTCACATAGCTTTTCTCTCTCCTTTCTGCATCTGATGCATCTCTGTTCCCATTTCGCCTTTCCCCACTTTCTGGTCCAGCAAGAACAACTCACAGCATCTTTTCTCACTTCCGGAGAAATTTATTCCACATGTGTCTGATTCACTTGCGTTTACAGAAACTCAGAATCTCCAGTGTCCAAAAATGCTTTCAACTATTTTTTCTTCTCTTTCTTAGAAACAGGAAGTTGTGCTTGGCCGGCCCAGGACAAACACTTTCAGTGCCCATGGGACTTAACAAGATGTTTGGAATGAGGAATGGTGAGGTCTGCGGAAGGCTTCCTTTGTTTCTCCTGGGACAAGTGTGCATTGGCCAGAAGTATAGTAGGCAGCTCAAGGGGAGCCAGAACTCTGCTGTCTCCCCTCACTGAGCCCAAGGCCCAAGGGAAAATATGTTCCAAAAGAGACAGGTGGCTTTCTCCCTCCCTGCTTTTGCAGTGCAATTCAGAATGTACTTGTACATTGAGAGTCATCTGTCTTCCCAATAGATTAGCAGTGGCTGGAAAGAGCCCCTATATTTGTGGGAGAGGTGTGGGTTGGCCAGTACTCTGCTTTAAGCTAGGCCAACTACTTTCTAAAGTGTGTATCAGAGAATCTCCCCATCTCAAGAGGAACAAACTAAAGACATGGCATTGGTTGGAAAGGGGCACATCTATTTTGATAAGCCTGGATATTTTGATAAGCTTGGATGTGTGTTTGGAGGGGGCCAGCATGGTATGAAGAAAACATGAAGCCTCAACTCTACAAGCTCACTCACTTTGTTCTCGACTTTAGTTCCTCTCAGTGTGTTGTCTCGTATTGTTTAGAAGATTGTTTTTAGAATATTACTGCTTAGTATCCTTCCTTCTTCCTCCCTCCTCCTCATCCCCCTCATCCTTCTTTTTATGGTACTAGGATCTGAAGCCAGGTACTTGCTCATGCTAGACATGTGCTTTACCAATGAGCCCTCTGGAATATTTTCCCCTATAAAGAAAATATGACCACAGTATTTGTTACTGTAATGATTATCCACCCTAAGCCATCAAAAATGTCAGCTTTAGTGGGTGGCTTCTTTCTCTTTCCTGTTCCGTGCAGCTTTCCCAGAGTTGCAAGCTCAGCCAGGGGACCACTGAGGGGAAAATGCACTTTCCCCACATAGATAAATTGTTCTCCAGTCACAGTCACCAAAAGAGAGCGAGTCCCTGTTTACATTTCTGTAGAACAGGAGCGCTGCCCCTGCTCCCTCTGCTTTCTGTCCTAGCACCCTGGACAGTGTGTGCTCAGGGCCCCAGGATTGCAAACAGGCTCACCAGGGGTAGAGCTAGGGGTGGGGGCTGCTGGGCGGAGATGTACTTCTCTTTACCTGGTGATTTCCCTCCAGTTTGTAAAATCCTCTGGTCAGCTATGGGGAAACATAAGGGACAGAGAACAAACCTCAGACAAAGATTCACTTGTCCTAAGGTGAAAAGTTGGAAATGAATCTTGATGCTAATGTATCACCTTTAAAATATCTCTGGCAGCAGTTTGGAATATCCAGATTAATGATCAGATTATCTGCTGAGTCTAGGTTTTATGGAGTTTGATGAGAAAGCACCGATAACAGTCTCTATCAGGAGCAATAACTGGAAAATATAAGCTCTTAGCAGAGGAAATACAGTCTTTCCTCCTCTGGTCTAAAAGGGTGGTTGTGGTTGGCTGGGACAAACAGTGGTGTGGCCTCCTGGTGCAGCCCCGTTTGCTGACTCCCCGAGTTGCAGCTGTTGAATTTCCAGACACAAACAAGTATGTATTCTGTGAGCCTTGCTGAACTCACACAGCATGGGAGAGCCAAGCTGGATTCCATTCTGCTTTGCACATCAGCAAGTCTGCTGCCAGCTGAACTCCAGGGCAAAAGCTGTGCCTGGTAATGATGCAGGCAGCAGGGATGGCACAGCTGGTCTGACATGGGCAGTTAAGGGGGACACATTTGGGGCGAGTTGAGAAATGGAATGAGATGAAGACTCATAGAAACATTCATCACTTTCCCCCAAACTGATACACAATAGGGAAATATCTGCTTTTACTTGTCATCAACAACAAGTCTGTGTGTGTATGCATGTTTGTTTATGTTCAGTAAGCCTGGCCTCCTCCTCAGTGAAAAGACTAGGCAGACAGGGAAAAGAGATCAACTCTATGTCAATTGCCACCAGGCAGAGACCAGCTAAAGGGGGCAGAAAGGGCAGAAATCCCATTGGTCTTGCTTTGTGCTGCAGGGATCTGAGTCCTCATTCAGACTGGGGCTCCACTTAGCATCTTCTCTGTCCCTGTCCACATGTCTGAAGAGGAACCAGAAAGGAAGGACAAAGGGATCAATGGTGGTGAAAAAAGGAAGATGCAAATTTAGGGAGTTTTCGTTTTCTTTTCCTAGAAGGTCATTTCTTGACGTTGTCCATTTCTCCTCACCCATTCACGACCAAGGACTGTGTCCCTATAGGGAGGACTGTGCCAGAGAGTTTATCTGAGCCACAGGAGATAAGGAGCTATGGGGCAAGGAAGGGGATTTTTGAGGCTCCCAGGTGGATTTCGGGTGCCCAATTGGGCACTATTCTGTGTAAAGGGCTTATGGGGAAAGTTACAAGTTGTTTGGACCAAAAGAGTTGTGAGATGTAGATGAAATTTGGTTCAGGTGGAGAGCAGACATAGTAGTCACTAGGATGATGTTACCTAGATATAGCATTGGAACACCTGAGATCTAAGAAGATTTTGTGTCTTTGGCTTAGTAAGACAAGATCAGCCAGCCAGTAAGAAGATGGGGCAGCTTGCAGAGTGGATGTGGAATTCTCAAGAATAACAAAAAGTACCACATAACCATCATGACCTCTGATTTGAAATTTTCTCTAGCATAGGGGAAAAGTGTGGTCCCCAAACCAATTGCCTCACATCAGCTGGGAGCTTGTTAGAAACAGACTTTCAAGCTATCCTCTGACTCACTGGATCAAAACTCCTGGGGATAGGGCACAGCGATCTTTCTGAACCCTCTGATGTCCCCTGCATCTTGAGAACCACTGAACTGGATCATGCCATGAATAGTTGCCCAGGTGAGCTGGGCTTACTAGGCTTGTTGGAAACAAAGTAGTCACTTTCTTACTGAAGGTCAGAAGAGATCCACGCCAGGACATCAGCCACCCTGTGCATGTGGAAGGTGAGCCGGCCCAGCTTTAGCCTTTATCTTTGGGTGCTAGGTCCCCTGTCCTTTCCAAAGAAACAATGAACTAGACCAGACCACTTCATTGGCACAAGATCACACTTTAGTTCGGAGACACATTTGCATAAATACTTGAAATGGGTCCACCCCAGCAGGTGGCAGCCTGAGAACATGTGGCTCTCCACAACCCTGTGACAGATACTGCAGCCCTTTAAGCGATGGATTTTAACACTGAAGACAGTTGTGGCCATTGCCAAAGACCCCTTGGGGTGTAGCTGTGGGGCTTGCTTTGACATTCACCATTGACTCCCTACCCCACTCCTCTCTTGAACTAATTTTTTTTCCCCCTCTGAGGTAGATTATTTAACAGGGAACCAAATAGAAAAGAATTTCTTTCATTTAGCCTTGTGAGTCCTTTGCAAACAGGCTGGCTCTGAGTCTCCCATTTGGGTCAATAAGTGCATTTTAACCTTTTAACCTACACCTTCTACTTGAACCTGAGCAAGGTCCAGTCCATTAGGCAGTTGAGTTTCAATCTGCTGCCCCATCCCCACTTCTCCTCCCCTTATGAATTAGGCAGCACCCAAGGGGCTGTGGCAATAGGAGGCCTGGGCAGGTCATGCTACTTTGATATATGGGCCACCAAAAAGGGGACCCTGTCTATACCCCAATACCCCGATTCCATGAGCACAAGCTCTTTTCCTCCATGAGATCACAGAGGACATGGCTGGCTTTCACAGGGCTTGGGACGCTCAGGTTGCAGAGCCCTGTTACAGATGACAGAGGCCTGTCCTGCGGGGTCTCTGTTTTCCACTATCCACTGCTGCCAGCTGGTTCTGCTAGTGCTGAAGCACTCAGCCCAGTCCCCCAGCACTCACTGTGTGAGGAGCAGTGGCTGGATGACGTTAGGGGTTGTTCTCTCTTTGCTGCTCTGTATACTGAAGTCCACGTCATTTGGAACAAAGAAGGAATATTTGACTTTGGGGGAGGGGAGCTCACTAGGTACAGTCAAGAGCTGCACTGTCAGAGCCTCTGATAGCGGCTGGAAGCTCTGTAGGCGCTCCAGGGAGGACATGGAGCCACTGTACTTTAGGATGGTCCCATTCACTAGGATGTCCTGCTCTGTGGCAGAGATGGCCAGGTTGCCATTGAGCAGGTATCGCCCATCAGCAGTCTTCAAAGCCAGGTAGTTGCCATCGTTCTGAACCCCTGGGTGGCTCCGCTGTTTCACATCAATGTTTGTGGCACCAGGTGGGATGGTGATAATGTCATTGTAGCCATATCTATGACAGGGACAGAAAGACACTGTTAGGATGGGTGACTCCCCTGCCTGGGTCCCGAAGGAGACTGATGTGTGCTTGGGATGGGCAGGCAAAAATAACTAGCAAATAGTGAAGTAAATGTCCTACAGTCTAAATAAATTAGCTGCCAGGGCAGAGAGAACTGTCTTGTACACTGGGATTTTCAAGGGTTTTTGCTTTATCTCATAACTCTGCTGCAAAAATTTGGATTGAGGAGTTCAGATGAGTGGATCTTGAAAACAGTAATAAGGAAGAAAACCTAGAAGATTTGAAAAGCTGCGTTGGTACAGCCAGACCTAGCATCTCATGGGTCAAATGAGATCCAAATACACTGACTTCTTTGCACTCTTATACAATTACACTTGCCTTTCTCCATACCTGGGGCTCAAATCCATGTGGAAAAATCTGATGGCTCCACCCAGTCCAGAACCCAAATAGGACAGAAGTCTCATATCACTTCTGAGCCAGTCAGCATCAGTGTCTGATTAGTGTGGACTCAGGGTGGGAGCTAAGGAGGTAAAGCCTGCTTCTTTGGAACCAGCTTCTGAGTGTGCCCAGACCCCATGAGCACCCTGGTTCTCCAGTGGTTGGATGCTACCAGGGGAAAGGTTTCAGGTCCTTTGTAGATATAGGGCTTTATGTAGGATGGACAGAGCTTAATTCTGTAGGCTGGGGAGAAGGTGAGCAGTGTTGAGAAGGACAGTGAGTCCAGGTTCTTTCCTGTTCTCCCCATTTGTCAGCTTGGTCTAGGGCCATGACAGTATTTAAGGCCTTATACCTAGTGTCTAAGAGAAGGTGGTTACATGACCTAGGATCTGAATAGCTCATGTTTTTTTTTTTCTATATGCTTAAACTTAAATGTAAAAAGACTTCTAAGGTGTCTGATATAGGCTGGTTCTGTTCTTTGAGACTGGTGAGGTAAGGGATACACACACACACACACACACACATATATTTATATACACACACATATATACATATATAGCACTTATATATAATATATAAATATAGAACATATAATATATAACACACATTATACATACACATATACATATTAATGCACATATATAAATATGTGTGTGTGTGTATATATATATATACATATATATATATATATATATTCTTTACAAACTTGGATGGCTGTGATGTAAGTAGTGGGAGGAGGCTGGGGTGTTTATGTAGCTGCTGGAAATGCATATATATGTACCACGGGCCAGATTGGCAGAGTGTGGCTCATACAAAAGGGCTAACCTTGCCCGAACTCTCCAGGAAGTTCATGGAATGGTAGAAAGAAAACAAAACAGGAAACAATCACCCAGGACTTAAGAAACCTAGGTTCTCTTTCTGGCAGTCAAGTATTGGTGTGCTCTTAGAAGAGTTGCAATCTTTTGTGCCTTAGTTTTTCCCTCTGTAACACCTGGCATAATAGTGTGGCCATGTCCACCTCCTGCACTTATAGTGGAAATCAAATTACAGCATGGAAGTGAAAGCACTGTGGAAAACACGAGATGCTACATGAATGCAGGCAGTAGGATGTGAGAGAAGTGTTCTCAGTTTCACGAGCTGCTGAGGCCACTCCCTTGTACCACCTCTCCCAACACCCACCTGCAGCCAGGCCAGACATGGGGTAAGCTGTCCTTCCCATAACAGGTCCGAAGGAGCTGTGTTTTGGCAAAGGCCCAGGCTGCTCAGTGTAAAATCCCCACTCACGTGGCCTGCTTGCTGATAAAACAACGGCTGCCCTGGCTGCTGCCCTTCCTGCCGCCAGGCCCTGTGCCAAGTTCTCCACACATCCCATCTCCGAAACCCCTATTGTGACTCTGAGATAGACAGGACTCTTGAGAAATGGAATCTCAGAACATTTAAATAACTTGTCCAGCAGATCAAACTTGGGCCCATCAGAGTCCAAAGCTCCTCAGGATCTTGTGCAGAAATGCTCAGGACTGGAAATCCTCACCTTGTGGGTGTGAAGAAACCGGAGATCTTTCTGCACGTGTTGCCTGTGCCCCCGCACACTCCGCATCGGTCCAGCTTCTTTGGCGAGTCCACCACGTGGTCACAGCCCGCCTTGACACACTGGCCCCGGACGCAGATGGCCAGAGTCTCTGGCCCACACAGGGTACCATCAATCACCTGGGACAGGAAAGGAAAGAGAGTGTGTGGAACACAGAAGCAGCTGCAGGTGGGGTGGCAACAGGCTGCCTTCCTCCCCATCTCTGATCCGAGTCTCAGAATTCTCACCTTGGCTTCAAACACTTTGAACTCTCTCCTTCCCCGGGCTCGGCAGAACAACTTGCAGCGGTCCCGGGGAGACACTCCTGAGTATTTGGGGACCCACTGCAGTAAATTCCCATCTAGGCCAGTGTAATTGTAGGCATTATATTTCTCACACTGCTGCTCTCTGAAGCTTTTCCCTAGAAAGAGTAAGAAATGGAACAGAAGTAACATACTTGCTGAAGCTAGGAGGATCCAGGTGGAAAAATGATCAGATTGAAGGCCTCTCTTTCCTCTAGGCTTTGGACTTCACTTAAGGACACAGGCCCAATGTCATCTGAACCCAGTGTTTCTGGACACACCCTGACCTGCATGCACGTGTGGCTTTTACTCAAAGGGGCCAAGAAGGGAGCCAGCCAGCCTCATGCCGGACTTTCTGTGATAAATATCCTTTCCATTTGGGAAAGACATTCATTCTACTTCACAGATGAATAAATAAACTTAGGTGGGAATAGGAAACCATTCAGTAAGTGTGGCAGGCACAGAATGATGCTGGAAACTATATTTTCATGACTCTCTTGATCTTTCTCCATCTTGATTTCCTTGGAGACAGGGGACATGTGGCTAAAGACTTCTCAGCTTGCATTTTCGAGCTCTGATCTTCCCCCTATCCCCCTTTCTGTAATTCTGGCTCTGTGTGGGGTAGCTGTACTGGCATGTACACACATTACCTCCAACTCAGCAATGGCAAGCACCATCTGGTCCTTCCATTAACTGGTTTCATTTGGTGACGCTACCATATTCCAGTCTGAGTCTGGCATCCTAGTGTTTCCTGAATATTTGAGCCTCTCTGTTCACCATTTCCAATATGTCATGAAGTCCTCTGCTATATTCAAAACAATCTGTGGTTTAGATGCCTGCATGCCACTCTTGCCATCCCAAGCCCAGGCCTCGTGGCTTCCCGTGGGACACAGGGCCCAGCCCCTTGCACACATCTGCCCTCTCTCCCCTCCTGCTCCACCCTGCTTCCAGGCCGCACTATTGGAAATGCGGTGTTTCCTTATGCAATCTTAGACTTAAACCTGTTGTTCTCATCATGGCCCTCCGACCCGGCTGTGCATGTGGATGGCCTGTGGGACTTCTAATACAGATGCGGTGCTCCACCCCTGAGATTCTGAGTCAGTATGGCTGAGGGGGTCTGGGCTGTGTTTGGAGAAGCTTCCTGGTGACCTGATGGGACTGCCATCACAGAGAAGCTCCAGATGCTGTTTCAGCCTTCAAGGGCCTTTGTGACCTGGCCCTGATGCACGGGTAAATTCTACTTGGTTCCACCTTAGCGAAAGATAGTGCTTCTCACACATTTTTCTCATCTTGGTATGTCCCCACATACCTTGACACCATCTCAGTTCACCTTGTTCCAAACACCTCATGAAGCTTCTGTTTTGCCCCAACTTCCCTTTCTCTGAGCTCATCACAAGCCTAGCGTGTATGCTCATAAATTAATCAATGAGCAAGGCTCTTTTGCTGTGTGAAGGGGTTTGTGTCTCAAATCAGTCTGCAAGCTCCTTGGGGACAAAGCTTTGTGCATTTAAAAATATAATTTGTAGCATCAATTGTAGTTCTAGAGAACTACTAGAGGTACTAAAAATACCGGACTGAAATGGCTGAGGTTGCACCTGAGATCATCATGTCACTTATCATCCATGCCCACCAAGGTAACCATCTCCTTAAACTATCTCCTTCTTCCTTTCCCTGAAACATCTTAGCCCATATGCCAGGCAAACCCTCCTAATTACAGAGCAGTTTCTACAGCCTGTGCCATTGCTGATCCTTCCTGTCTTGCAAAACTGCAGAGCCTACAGATTTTCCTATTAGACATCAACCTAATGCCAGGGTGTCTTGGCACTTGCATGAACCTCTCCTAAAGCTTCACTCCTCTTTTCATGCCTGCCAATACTTCCTGGAGCTGCCCAAAGGGGAGTCGGATGGGACGGTGGGGGAAAAAAGTTCTAATGATTCCTTTTTATGAGTTTGCTGCTGCCCTTTACTGCCTCTAAGTTAATATGTATGCTTTCTAGCACATGCTATAGGATAGAAGTACGCCAGGGGAAGGTTGAGACAGTGTTGCTTCCTAGGAAGGTTCTATAAGGCGGTTGCCATGGCCCCAAGGGAAGACAGGCAACTCTTCACAGAAGGAATGTGCACAGGAATCAGATTCAGAAATCCTCCCTCCTCTCTGGGCTAAATGTTGGCTGGAGAGACCTTGGAGGTTTGGCTCTGCCACTTGCTTTGGAAAACGCTTCCATTCTGCACACAGATGAGGGTTCAGATTATTATCCTAGACACTAGTCCGTCTGCAAAGGACTCCCTGTAGGTTTGGTTGAGAGAAACACACTATATCCATGCCTCAGAAGACAGGGCAATGCCTCTCCTGACCTCACTAGAATTTCCCAACATAGTGAAGCTGTTGTGGGTCCTTGTGAGTTCACTAAAGCTAGGTACCTTTCAAAGCCCATTATCACCTGGTTCACAAACAACTGGGAAACCCTCCCTTCTCCTTCTCTGGGACTCTGTTGCAACAAAAATAGCAGCTGCTTTGGCTATTAAGTGGTGATTACCATCAGGGGGGCACTCCTCTGTATTGCAGGACTGGTACTTGGCTCTCTGACCCAGGCAGTACTTTCCTCCATTCTGAGGCTGAGGATCTTTGCATTCACGATATGAAAACTGTATTCCACCTCCGCAGGTCCGGGAACATTCTCCCCAGGGTCCCCACTGGGTCCAGCCTCCATCCACCACTGCCTGCAACACACAACACCATGGAGTCAGGAGCACAAAGGAAGGGGTTTCAGTTGCATGTGCAACCCACAGGCCTGTCTTCCACATCGATGTATTCTTATCTGGCTGCACAGTGTGTGGTGAACCGCTTCAACCAGTGTTTAGTGTCTGTATGGTCTGCAGCTTTCTGAGCAGAGACTGTGTGGGCACCTTCCCTGCTAGCTGCCTCAGGTCTAAAGCAGTAGCTTGCCTGTAAGTGCTCAGGACAAACAAGAGTCTTTCATGGGAACAAGGTTGGCTCTAATGTAGTGGTTCTCCACTGGGGTGCATTCTGTCCCTCACAGGCAATGTCTGAAGATGCTAAAGTTGTTCCAGCAGGGGAAGGCGTGGGATGAGCCCACAGATGCTACTAAATATCCAGCAGAGCACAGGCCCCACAATAAAGCTTTACCCAGTCCCAAATGTCACTGTGCTGAGGTCAGAGACCCTTTTCTAAAGGCACAGTCACTGATATTGGGCTACTGGCTGCTGGTTCCAGTGCTAGGATAATGCCCAGGAAAGAAACAGAATCATTTCCAAGTTTATAAGTGGCTTATGAGAATAAAATTTTTCCCTTGATAGGTCTAAAGAAGGTTTGAAATAAAAACTGGGGTGGGGTAGTGGTTTAAAGGATTGGAAATTATCCAGGTATGTTATGTGCATACACTTATCCCCCCAAATGAATATCACTATTCTGTATTACTAATATGAGCTAAAATAATGAACTAATTTTCAAAAATTATAAAAGTAATGCTTATATAAAAATGAAAAATACTGACTGTAAAAAAAAGCAATACTGAAAAAATGAATAGGACATACATGTATAAATACCGAATAGTTTCTCTGGTGTGAGAAACTGAAAGTGTACATAAGGGTCAAAATGTATAATAGATAATGTGAAATAGGAAGAAAAGGTCCAAAGAGGAAGGGGAAGTGGAAGGGGTAGGGGAAAAGAAAGAAGGGAAAGGAGTAAATATAAGAAAAGGAAAAAATGGAAACAAAGTTTTTATAAATAGGGAGGGGTAGAGGGGTTAAAGGGAGGGCAGGGAAATGGGGAAAAAATAAGGATTAAGATATATCATGTAATTCCCAATGATGAATGCCATCATGTTGTATACCTACTATGCACCAATAAACTTAAAGAAAAAAATCCCTACCAATTCTTTTGTTCTGAATCATTAAGATATGTGCTTTCATTTTACAAAGAAATGAGTTTTTCTCTCTCTTTCTCTCTATATATGTATATAATTTTAGGCTCTGCCTTTCTCCTTAAAAATAGATGATAAACATAATCCCATGAGCATTTCATGTCAGTGTTTGCCCGCACCTAGCTTGGTTCTTAGGGAGTGGGTGGACAGATCCTTTCCCTCTCCCCTCAGTACCAGGGAAGAGAGTCAACAAGGGGCCTAGGCCAGGGCCCAGGGCTTACCCATGAACCCATCATAGGCTTAGGATGAGTGTGTGGCTTAGTCAGCCCAGGGGTATTCCTGAGGCTCAGTAGCAAAGACAAGCTCCTTGGAGCATGCTTGGGGCACCCTGCTGTTCAGTGCTAGGTGGGGGACCAGGTTATGAGACTCAGTAGATGCTCTTTCATGGTGATGGCTCCATGACTTGTAGTAAGAGAAACACGATCACCCACACAGTTTGGATGTATTAAGAGCAGGGCGAAGGAGTGAATTATTTAAAAATTCTCTCTGGCATTACTTTGGTTTTCCCTGCAAATTTCCTCTGTATAGGGCCAAGTTTTCTCCACCTGGTTAGAGGAGGCACCAATTCCTTCTCCCTTCCTCCTCTTGGAGTGTGGGATTCTCATGATTACTTTATTCCTTTCACTTCTAATTAGGAATTCAACTCCAATGTGTGGAGGGTATGAATGCTTTTCACTCAACCCTTGATGAAATATTCCTACCCCACATTGTTCCAGTTATAATGAGAATTCATAAAGTCTCCTGTTTAGTGAGTGCCTGCTTTCTGGTCTTCATTGTTCCTACCAACCTGCATGAGGCCTCATTTAGCTCCAAAGCAGAACCAAGGGAGGACTGCTGAGCCTGCTGACTATGATTACAGCTTGTAAGGGCTCCTCACTCATGTGGATAAATATGCTTTGGTTTGTTCAAAGATAGATCTCTTAGTTCCTGCCTCTCAAGTGTGGTTCCTCCACTGAAAGCATCCCTTGCCCTGCTCTGTGCTCCTTCTTGCCTCCCCTTCCCCTCTCCCCCTTCTTCACCTTGGACCTCTCCACTTCCTCTTCTGGCAGACAACTGCCATCCAAGCACAAGCGCCCAGGTGCACAGCGGGTGCCATCAGCCCAGTGCAGGCTGCCATTCCTCGTGTGGCAGATGCCCTCATCACCATCCACTTGGCACCAGAGCTGGGCACAGGTGTCCTGCTCAGAGGTGTTGGGGCAGTGGCGGTAACCTGGTCCAAAGATCTGCTTGCACTGTTGGTCCAGGTCATAGAGGGCCCTGCAGCCTGGGAGGTCTGTGGGGAAGGGCAGGGCTGAGGTAGGGGCATCCAGGAGACAGTCCCCTGAGAATAGAGGAAGCAGAAGGGTGAGAACAAAGGTTAGGGCCTCCCTCTCAGCTCTCTGTGCCCCCCCACTTTAGGCTAAAATTTGAAAAGAGGTGGTTTAAAGTCTAGGCGTCATGGTTTCCTTGACTCAGGTAGACATGCCAACACTTGAACATCTACACAGAGCCTAGCTTGTTTGGATGAATAGTAGCAAAGACTTTTTTGGGACTGACTTTCTTCTGCTGTCCAGAACATTTAAGGATGCATTTCTCCTGACAGTGTATGCTTAGTGAATGTCAACTAATTGTACGGTTAATTCACATCACAATATAATGGGGAATGTAAATATACTCTTAGAAACCGTGGCTGGCAAGGAAAGAATACACACACACACGCACACACACACACACACACAGAGCAGTACTAATGTTTGGACAATCTACTGTTTTTGCACTACCTGTGTCCTTGCCTCTTTCATTGAGAAGGATCTAGAATACATTGCTTTGCTGCTTTAACCAACACTTCACTGTCTTAACCAGGCACCCCAGGCCCTTAGTGCTTGCTCTCACATGACTGATTACTGTTTCTTTGCTGCTGCTAGTGCTGCTGTTGCTGTTGTTTTCTTTGCTATTTCTGAGCTATCATAAGATCAGGCACCCAGCCTAGAACATCCTCTTCTGTACTTTTTACTACAAACATTCTTCCATTCCTTTAAGCTGTGCTCAAACTCACCTCTTCCAGACAAGCTTCTCAGACTAATTCCACCTGTTTTGATGATGAAATCTAAATTAGCCCAGAGCTCAGGCTACAGTGGCAAGAGGCAAGGAAGAGAACTCTGGGGAGATGCCTAGGATGCCTTCTGAGAAAGACGCATTTTGAAGTCTCTCCCTGCCCTAGGAGCCTCATAAGAAAGCACAGCTGCAGGGAGTCCCCAGATCGGCATAGGTGCCAACAGCTGTCAAGGGGTCTGCTGGATGGGGGACCAGAGAGGAAGCCAAGTGGGGCCTACCATGGCCATCGTCCAGGAGCTCGGTGAGGTACATGGCACTGCAGGGAGACCAGGGCAGCGTCTTGTTCAAGTGGATAAAGAGTGGCGCCATCATGTGGTGTTTTTCCATGGGCCCAAAGAGCCGAACGCAGGGCTTGGAGTCATCATGGGGCATGCTGAGAACGTGCCCTGAGGGGTCAAAGAGACTGGTCCATTCCTCCATCCTCTGGCTACCCCATCCCACTTCTTGTGTGGCCAGCAGTGGCAATAACGTTGGTAGTGCTATTGCGTACAAGTTCCTCATCATACAGATTTTTGTTTCAGGCCTCACCCTGGGCTTTTTTCTTCCAGGAAGCTTTTTCAGATATCTAAGCAGCAATGGAACCCCTTTATTTTCTGCATCTGCTTGTCTGAAATTCACACTCATCTCTCCTACTTGCTATCCAATGTGGAAGCCCCAAAACCTGACTGCTCAGCTTGCGTACAGTATCATGACACCCCCTCAGCATCTGTTTCATGTTTGGGTACCCCCAGGCCATCTCTGATGGTGGCCCAGGATACTACTGAATGGAGGCAACAATGTCAAGCACTGGATCCATTTGTGTGTAATCACTGTGTCAAAATTAGGAGGAGATAATGGCTAAGTGTGAGAGCTGCCTCTTTCTCAGGGTCTGAGCAACTTTGAACCTGGAGGTATCAGTTCTCTTGGCTGACATAAAGCAGGCCTTGACACAGCCGGTCTTACCTAGCTCGTGGGCCACGGTGTAGGCTGCCTGTAGGCCCTCGTCTTTGATCACGGAGCAGCTCATGCTGGGGTCACAGATTGTGCCGATGTCCGCCATGCCTAGGGTGTTGCAGTGCCCATCATTCCCACAGAAGTCCTGTGTGGCAGAGAGAGGTCATCAGCGAGTGTGTGTGAGGGGCAGCAGCTTTCAGACTAGAGGTAGGTACCAGGGGGCACATGGCATTGCCCTACTGAGTATCCCATGAGATACCTGCTCACTAGCCTGAGAATTGCTTGCATTTACTGAGATTTTTTTTAAACAGTGGGAAGTGAGAGTAGGGCTTGCTATCTGGATATCTCAGCCAGTGGTCCTGCATTATTTTGGTTATAGTCATCATCGCTTGTCTTTCTCAATTGAAGAGTGAAATTTACCACTGTTAAACAATATGCGCATGGGCATGTGTGTGGGTGAACACACACATACACCTGTTAAGAGGGACTTCTGAGTGGTAGAAACAGAAAAATGTACCTCTGTCTTCCCATAGGCAGCACAACTCATGTAAGGGAGGGTGTTCCTTATTGACCTGGACATGTCTGAGGGCTGGCTGGGACTTCAAAGGCCTGTTTTGGGAGTCAGAACACCACAGTAGTTCTGAGAGTGGCTCTACAGCAAGCCTGCATGGGCTTGGCTATAGGTGCTGCCAACATGTGTCCTCTCTGTGCCTCAGTTTCCTCAGCTGTAAAATGAGGATAATGCCACACTCAACTGTGGGATTGTAGTGAGGACAGCAAGGTGGAGAGGGTTGACACACAGTACCCTATGCCCTTGCCTTCAGGAAGCTGCCCCTTTAAATCACACCAAGTGGTTGGGCAGTCTTTCTGCCATAGTAGGTTCTTGAATGATCCCCAGTTACCTGCTTGTAAGTTTAGTAGCCACTCTAGACAGAATCCTTGTCCCACTTCCAGCCCTAGCTCTCTCCCCAGCCAGTTTGAGTCTGCTTCTTCTTGTTATGACCTCAGCAGACAGCTGGTCACAAATTTTTGGAAAACTGCCCTCACAAGATTCTTCTTCCCTTGCAAATACCTCCTGCTTGTCCTCATGACCTCCTCCTCATCACTGTAAGCGGGAGGCTTCTGGCATCCACTGAGGCCAGCAAGGAGACAATTGCCATGTCTGGCTAACCCCCACCCATCTATCTCTTGTCCCCCTCCTCCCTGGCTTCTGGAGGTGGCCCACATACCTGTCTTGTGAGCAGGATGGCTGTGTCATAGTGCTCTGGGTGGCGGTCGCTGGGCTTGTTGAAGGGCCGCTGCCAGCTGCAGAAGTTGCGCAGTGTGAGCCCGCCATTGTCCGACACCTCTGGGCCCCACTTTTCATCTTCCACTATGAGCACTTTCACCACGACGAGGTTGATGGCGTTCTGGATGCTGGGGTGCTTATAGATGCGGGCTGCTACCGACATCAGGGTTAGGATGTGGTTCTGTTGAGAAGGGGGAGAGTGGGGAGAGGAAGTGTCCAACCTTACAGCCCTGCTCTGCTCGCTGCTATGGTCTCTTGTTGTATGGCATTTACCTTGCTTGTGCCAGGTCTTGGTTGACCATTGGATTTACAGCATCTCTCTGAGGACTCACAAAATGCTTGAGGCCTCAGCATTATTTCCCTTCACATTCCACAGAAGAAATGCAAGTCAGTAATTAGTCCAAGAGCACAAAGCTGATGGGTGTACAGCCAGCATTTGAACCCAGACCTGCCTAGCTACAAGGCTTGTCCATTTAACATCCAGACCAGCCATATGTAGCTATCTAGATCCCAGTTAAGCAAAATTTAATACAATTAGTCGAACCGGCCACATTTCAAGTGCACCAATACCAGTATAGGGCTGATGACTTCTGTACTGAAGCCACAGGTAGAGCATTCTTTCAGGCTACATGGCTTATTCTGCTGCCTTGCTGCCAACCACCTCTACCTGTTCCCAGTGTCAGCCCAGAAGCAATGACCATAGTAGTTAAGTTTAGAATTTTCCCCTCAGAACTCAGTTAGGTATTTTCCTGATATCTGTTGGGGAAACTTCTAGTCTTCAGGATGGACATTGTTACCCTGAAAACTTTTCTCTAATAATCACTCCCAGCAGTAGCCACTCATTGCCATCACTGGCCATGCTCACCACCCATCAACTCATTCAATTCTCAAGCTAACACCACTGAGCACTGTAATTCCCTGTTTCATGAACCACACAGTGGAGGGTTATACAAGTTTAATAACTCATTGAAGGTTGCACTGCTTTCAAAACCAGGATAACAGCCCAGGTGTGTCTGGGCTGCCAACCACTCCCCTACTGGATACCAAGGCTTTGAGAGTAGGCCAGATGCAGGCTCAGTCTCCTGCTTGGGTACATCTTGAAGTGTCCCTCTTGGACTATTTTAGAGCGATAGGGACAGCAGGACAGAGGTGGGCATGCCTGGTGCCCACAGTGTGGCCAGCTGAGTTGCTGATACTTGCTCTGCCTATCTGCTCCCTGGGTGACCACTTCCTGTCAGCCTGTGTTCTCCTGTGGCCTGGAAGGTGGGAGGAGAAGGAGAGAAAAGGAGGGGGAAGTCAAGAGAGGGACATTCCATGTGGAAAGGCCATGTGTGGGAGTTCCAGATAAATCCAATTTTTTTGTGAATGGGATCTGTCTGTTCACCTCAAAGGCAACAAGCCAGGTATTTTGTTAGCCCTACAAACATGGATTGGCAGGTTACTAAGTGAAGGTTACTTAACATGTCAAGCACTCCAGTTATGTTTAAGCTGATGTAAACATCTTATCAGCAGAGCTGAAACTTGGCATTAGCTACTGAAGTTGGATTCCTAAGGGAAAGAAAGCAATCATATCATTATGCAACTGAGGGTGAGGGCTGAGGAATGGTAGCTTGTTGAAGCTAACTTCCTGGCCAGGTCTTCTTGGTTTCTGGGGGCCAGAAAGTCTTCTGGATGCTCCAGGCAGGAATAGGGTTTGATGGACATGGACTATCTCCTGAAATGTCTTCTAAGGCAACCTATAACTGCACTCACAAGATTTCTTCCTGTCAAGCCCTAATTCCACAATCTGAAAATCAGGAAAGATGAGGTCTTTCAAAGACATTTTAAGGTCACAAGATGTCCACTGCTAAATGGTGGTTCAGTGCAACTCAGCACAAGGAACTGAAGACTTGTGGATTAAAATGGTCCATTTGCCCAAGCTGGCCAGATCAGACTGGCCTCCCTCCACAAGAGATGATGCAAAGGTCACGCCCCCAGTGGAGACCAAAAGGAAATGACGTAAATCACTGCATGAAGGTCAGGGTACGTAATAAGTTTCCCAGCACTAAGGTTTCCAGCGAGCGTCCTTCTCTGCAGTTTAAGGAACTCATATGATCACCTCCAGTTACTCAGCAGCTGTCAGGCTGAGCCATTTTCCTTCAAGACTCTGAGTTGGGCTTGAAGGCATCTGAAGGTCTTCTTAGTCACTGATTATCACAGACGATAACTTGCATTATCTGGCATTATAACCCCCTCACAGGGGCTATAAGGATTCTGTGGCTCAACATTCCTTTCAGAGTCTCCAGTCCTGGTCCTGCTGATCCCATCCTTTCCCTTCCCTTCCCTTCCCTCCCACTCCAAATTGGCTTATGTGAGAAACAAGGGCAGGAGACTTGCTTTGCAGGGCATCCCAGAGTTCTCCAGGCGGAAGGACCCTGTGCCTGGGCCAGGTATGTCAGCTGAATTTGTGAGTGTCTCAGTCTCCACTCATCCCTGCTTACAGTTGTATGGGGAGTAGGCCTAGGAATCAGTCAAGGAAAGGTCAGATGGTTTGCTCTACCACCTGGCATCTATTTATACTTTCCTGATCACCACATAAGTGTAGGCTGTGTGCTCAAGAATGTGAATGAGATCCTGTCCCACATGGACTGGGGCCCCCAGCATAAGAAGCAACCTCCAAAAACCATATAAGGTTGGGAAAAACCCATGATCTGCCTGGCCAAGGATGGCCAAAAATCATTGCTCTTGAATGAATGGGGATCTCTTCTCCTTAACAGGAAAGAAGATGTTTTGGGAGGCATTTCCTCCTGTGCTAGTGTCCCTGGTTACTGGCTGAAGGCTGGCCCTCTTTGAGATACAAACAAGGAGATTTCTCATCCAGAGCTTGGGTGGCAGCCAAAGTCAGGCTTGGTGCGAGTCTGAGGGACTACCTCAGGTGGTGAGGCACCTCACCAGGCTGAGATGCCAAATGCGTTTCTGGCAATGCTTCTCCTTCTGGCTGGAGTTTCACTTTCTGAACCTTGCTCATTTTCTTGTCACACTACAGGCCCTAAGGTTTCCCTCTATGGCCTGTCTGGGGAGGCTGGGAGAAGAGTGGCAATGTGAAAACTCACCTGGTACCATTGCTCTACCTTCCTGGTATTTCTGTAGGACCTGATGCAGTGCTGGGGAGACACAGTGGAGTTGCAAAGAAAGAGGAAAGGAGAAAGAGGAGGAAAGAGAGAGATTTGCATGAATATCCTTCATCTTGTCTTGTTCTCCAAAGAGCAGAGGGTGATATCACTTCTCCAGAGTGCACCCTTATACGAAACTAAAAGGAGTCAGCCTTAAATACCAGGATCTGGGGAAAACTGAAGAAGGGCTCTCTGCCTTGTGCGGCAGCAGAGTGGAAACATGGTTGCTTGTACTGCATGGGCAGGTGGCCCACCCCATCATCTGTACTTTGATGAATGCTTTCTAGCAAGGCTAGCAATGGCTATGACTTGTTGAATACCTACTATGTACTGGGCACCAAATCAGTGCTTTCCATGTTTTGTTGCATCCTTAAGACAGACAATGTCAGACTTCGGGATAACTGCTTCTATTTTGTCGTGAGGAAAAGGATACAGAGAAGTAGATAATTTGCTAAGGAAACTCAGTTATTTCTATTTTACACCAAGTCTGTGCTTCTGGCCACCACACCACGACACATCTTTGCTGCTACAAGGAAAGCTGGTGAAGCCAAGACAAATTCAAAGCATGAAAGCAAGTGAGGCTGCCTCTGTTATTGTCTGTGCCCACCCACCTTTTGCTATTGAGACATTTCCTCAGGGAAACTCTCTTTTATTAGTCATTCTGACTGCAGCAGACCCAAAGGAAGGAAGACACTCATTCTTTTGCCAGTGGGAAGAACATAATTCATGCACACCTAACACTTGTCTTCCCCCCTTGAAGCCTGGGATGGCTTCAGAGCAGGTAGGACCTTTCTGTTTATATTCTCATGCAAGCCAGGACACTATTGACATTCACAGACAGTACTACTGATGTTGCAACAGGCGTGGACCATATCCATGCTGGCCAAATGAAGCTATTGGATCACTTCAGGATAGGGGCTTGAGGGAGACATTTGCTCTAGAGAACAGAGGTGAGGGGCAGGTAAGATGCCTGAGAACCATTTTCTGAAATTACCCCATAAAGCCTGACAACTTGGGCTGATCGGGGATGCCTGGGGAAGATGAGCATCATGCCTAACTCATCTCTACTAAGAAGAAAATTCAGAAGCTCTGATTATTTCTGAGACTTCCCAGACTGAGCCTGGGTCATTGCTCAGCCCACCACTCACTCTGTCCTGCTGCAGGTTCCTCCAGGGGACAATCAGCAGTGGTCAAATGTAGACTTAATGGACTTTTCCAGGGTGGTCCCTCTTTCTTTCAGAAGCTCCCTGTGGCTGAGCCCCTTAACTCTGAAATCAGATAAGAAGGTGGGAGGCAGGAGGCCCCCTTTTGTCAAGGGATTAAGTGAACTCAACTGCACAGAGTTCTGAAAGATTTCATTGTCATTTAGCAGTGGCAGCTAAAATCAGTTTCGAGCATAGCTAATCTTTCTTATAACTTTGAAGATGAAGGCAGCTTCTCAGGAGCAAGGCTAATCCTTCTGCTGGATGTCTTGGACTGCTGGATTTGAGGACCCATTCAACAACATCAACAAGAGTCAAAGGATAAAGAGTCACAGACCTTCCTAAAGAGACAACATGATATAAGGGCATAGAGAGCTGGAGTTAGGTTTTGGAGACCTGGGCTGCAGATCTAGTCTGTCACTTACTAGTGTGACTTTGGGCAAGTCACATGAGGTGTACATTCCTCCTCTTCCCCTCCCAGGTACTGCCACTGAGGCCGTGTTTGTAAAAGCACTCCATAAAGTGAACATACTCAGAGAGTGGCCAAACTTTGTGTTATCCTAAAGCAGCTGCATGGGCACTTAGAATAGAATTGATTACTTGTTCCAGGTGTCTTGCTACTTCTTAGGGGGAGTAGAGACTTTTTTTTTTTTTGGTACCAGGGATTGAACTTGGGTCCTTGCACTTGCAAAGCAGGCCACCAAACTGCTGAGCTAAATCCCCGGCCCAAGGCTCTTTTGACCATCATCACATCTGATTACTCTAAGACCCCCCAAAGTGCCTTGAAGCTGTGTGGGTGAACTCTCCCCACCATTCCTTGGACAATTGGGAATAAAGAAATGGCTCCATCTGGAGGAAGTGGGTTGAAGCAGGCTAGGTTTTGGGGTGATAATGCTTAATTTTCACTCTTCTCTCTACCTGAGCCTATAGGCCCATTTTAAGAAGCCCTAGGGTTTTTTTTTTTCTTTTTTTGTACCAGAGATCGAACTTGGGTCCTTGTGCTTGCAAGGCAGGCACAGAACCATTGAACTAAAGCTAAATCACCGGCCTTTGTTTGTTTTGTTGGTACTGGGGATAGAACTCCAGCCCTTGTGCTTGCAAGCTTGCAAGGCAGGCTGCGAAACCACTGAGCTAAATCCCCAGCCCTTCAGAAGCCCTAGGCATTAAGCTGAGTATCTCAATGGTTGGTCAGAGGGGCCAGTGGGCAGTTATAGACAGGTGTGCCTCAGCCGCACACCATCCCAGCAGGTGGGAGCAGGAGTGTAAGTGGACTGAGATGTGAGACCAAGATGGAGGGGACAGTCTGCTCCAGCTGAGTGAAGATTTCTTTTTGCAGAAGATGTAAAAGTAGACTTCCTAGGGGGCAGGTGGCCATCCCATCATCCCTGCTTTGATGAATGGGGCCTTCACAGGTGTCCCACACCTGTTCTGATGCCCTCTCCTGATCCAAGGTGGCTGGCTGGGTGGGGAGGTCCCTGTGTGTGGCCGTCAATGGTTCAGAGACCTGAGTATGTACAGGGAGAGAGGATAGGGGTAAACATGAACCATGGCCTGTAGCTAGAGGTCCCGTGAGGATGGCAAGTGCCCATGTGGCTCTGACACAACTAGCCCACTTCTCTGGGACAGCAGCCTAGATTTCAAGTGGAAGTGAACAAAACCTGGCGTGGAACCCAACTGACCAGATAAATCAGCATTGGCTCAAGGCTCACAGGGCAGACAGCCGTGAGGGTTCAGTGATATGCTCTGGGAGAAACCAGTACCACACAAGCGTTCAGGGGAGTGTCCCTGGGGTTTAACTGGCCCCACAGTAGCCAGAAAAGAAGCCATGTGGACCTCTCCCCAGCAGCTAGAAGCTCTGCCAGCCCTATCCATGTTTCCCATCAGATCTTTCTTCCTCTGTACTTACCAGTGAGAGCAGAGTGGTGTGTGTGTGTGTGTGGGGGGCGGTAAGATCCTTTGAAAAGGCTGACTACTGTCTCATCTAGATTCTGCTGCACAGGTGATGTCAGTGCATTTGGTGCAGGCTGAGTCTAGAATGGGTTGCTGGCCAAGCTTGCCTTCACTGCAGAAGTGTTAACCATGTTGCTGTGGTGTGCTAGGATCTGCTGCAGGGAACTGTGAACTCTGGGCAGGTCAGTTCTTCCCCAGCTGGGGTATCTCTGGTTCTATGTCTCCCAGGGGAAGAGAAAACAGCCCTCTCCCACATCCTTACTCTCTTCTCCTGGAAAGACATTTGCCTGGTCTTTGGAGGGAGGTACTGGGGCTGAGGGTGACACAGGCAATTTTTGTTGAATCAACACCCTCTTTGCATATGGTTAGCAATGGCCTGGCTAAAACAACCATGCCCTAGACCCAATTTTTCCTGTACCAGCTCATTTGGGAGCTGAGTCTGAACTGAGGGCAGCTGGGTGGACCCAACCCAGCTGTGGCTCCTCCAGAGACCTTAACTGCAAGTTCATTCTACCCCTTGCTCCTTCCCCTTTTCACTGAAACTTCAACTGCCAGGGCTGAGCCCCCAGGCAGAAATTCTGTTCCCCTCCCTCTTTGTGTTGGATGCTGGCGCTACTAAGTTCTGCCAAGGCCGAGCGCCAGGTTGGCAAGGTATCTATGCCCCTTGATCAGAACCAGCTGGGTGCACAGAATCTGGGCAGCCCTTTTCTAGGTTCAGCTCTCTCCAGACAATGTCTTTTACTTATGACAATCCCAGTTCTGTGCCCTAAGGGAATCAGCCACCTTTTTCCAACTCAGCTGCCTTTTCTTGGGAGCTTCTGAGTTCCCTGACAGCAGAACCCTCAGGAAATGGGGTGGGGTAGGGGCGCTTTCCTGAAATGTGCAATTTCCATCCTGTTGGGAGAGGCAGGTGCTCTGGAGAGGGTGTGTTCGAACCCACTTTCAGGTCGGTTGACAGGAGCTGCAGGAGTCATAGAGAATGGAGAGAGGACAGACTGGGTGTGGGAGGATAGGAAGCCAGGATGGCACATGTTAAGAAAACTTACTGGTGTTTCTCACAAAGGAGAGAATCTTGTTTGGGGTTAGCTTGGGAGGGTGAAGCAATCCCTCTAACTCTCCACCCCCCACTGGGAAGGGAAGAATTGGGAGCCGGGGAAAGGCTCCGGAGCCTACCTGCAGGTCGGCGCTGTAGAGGGCAGCCATGGACGCATCGGCCACCACCAGCGTCTCCAC